ATTTTAATAATATTATTCATCAAAGTGATCAGATTATCAGATGGTTGATTATTTATCAGTTTAATTCTTTATGTCTCTGACTGAACTCTTACAAAGATCCTCTTTTGAGTGGCTGGAGAAGAGGTGTCACTCTACACGAAGAACAGTCAATCACATCAACTGACAAAGATCTTTTATTAAACTCTTTGTGAAGATGTGTCACACGTGGAGGAAAATCTGAACTGAAACCACCACAGATGGTTTTGACTGATGAGGTCTCACTTTGGATTTAATTCATTGAACTGAACTTTCAGTCTCTGGCATGTTTCCTCGTGTTGGTTTGAAACTGGAAAGTGTTGGAGCTCGTTGTTTATTGGTTGGATCTTGTCTTAATTAACATCATTGGATTAGATTGCAGCATCTTAAAATCACGTAAAAACCTGTGGTGGACGATGTTAAACCTGCGGCGGGTCAGAAGTATTTCAGTGAGACTTTTAAAGACACGTGGTCGTAATAAAGAGGCCACCGAGTACGTTCCTGACAAATGTAGGTCAGAGGTCATCATTCCTCTCAGATTATGTTTCAGTGAAAACAAAGGTTGAACAGAGAAGTAAAGAAAACACGGCAGCAGCAGCACTTATCAAAGATCTCCTTCATTGTTTTAATAGTAGACATTGTGCCACAAAAATGTTATGTCACCGATCACGTGTGGAACTAATTCAGCTATGTATCATGTCATTCGCTTGCCTACACAATCTGCAGATCACATGTTACACGTATGTATAAATATATACAGTTTATAGGTTCGTTACTGTGGTTGTGCTGAGAAACATGAGCAGAGAAATCAACACGGCTGACGACACGTCTCCCAATGCAGCACACGCTTATTACATGACGACCAGCAGAGCACACGCAGAGCCCGACACGTACTGTGTGTGTACAGGAATGTTAACTATCATACAAACTGGGCTCGTTCGGAAATCGCGAGGGGAAGATGTTGACAAGAACGTGACGTCGTCTCCTGCCACGAAAGCACTGGCAAGTGGTTGTCAGGGGCGACGGCGTGACGCTGAAGCAGGTGACGCAACAGGGGGCGTGTGATTGGCTCTAACATGCGTGATGCTGGTTTTTAAGCATGTGCTTCATTCAAGGTGCTCAGCGACTCGTGTTCGGGCGGCGGCCAAAGACGACTCGGTGTTTGGAGGGTGGAAGAGAGGGAGGAGCCGAGGAGAAGTGAAGTGAAAAAAAGACGAGTGGATTCATGTCACTGTTAAAAACGGTCGACTTTGTTTTGGTGTAGGATGAAAAAAGGCTAGCGGAGATTATCGTCCTATTGCTGATTTAGAAAGGTCGGGGGCGGAGATCTGGTGTCGTAGCTGCACGCACAATAACAAACCTGTCCTCCTTCCTGTCCCCCCCTGGTTGTCTGTCCTTGTGGAGCGTCGTAACATTGAGACTGGTCTCGGGCTCTGGGGTTAATTCGAATGTCGTGGCGTTTTGTTTTGTATTTTTCAGGCCTCAGCAGCAGCCGCCGGACGAGGTGTTGACGGGCTTGCTCTGGATCTTGACATTAGATTTCTCAGAGGCGCCAGCCGTGGCCCCAGGGCCCATCCTCTTCTTGATCTCGGCCGCCATGGTCATGAAGGCTTGCTCCACGTTGGTGGCGCTCTTGGCACTGGTCTCCAGGAAGGGGATTCCCAAGTTGTCTGCAAATTCCTGGTGGAGGAAAAGGAGTGAGGAAACATGTCACGTGACGTCGGGATGAGACCAGAAGTTCAGACTAGCTGCACGCCGTGACACGCCCCCTAACAAAGCCAGGAAAGGCAAGCGCAGAGGGCGCCACAAGTGTTAACAAGGTGGTTACATAACACATCCACTAGAGTGCAGCACAGAGTTCATTATCATGAATGATCACGTTGTTTGCTACACTGCCCCCTATCGTTTTGGGAAGTACTGCCCCGTCCGTACTTAAACTTTCAGAAGACGTGCACCAACATGGCCGAAATTAAAAAAAAGGCTCCGTCCATTTCCCGTTAGAAACGTTACGTATCCACGATGAGGTTTTGCTGCCGCCGCATGTTGCCTAGACAACGTACCTTAGCTGTGGTGTAATCCACCACCTTCTTCGTCGTGAGGTCACACTTGTTGCCGACCAGCAGCTTGTTGACGTTCTCGCTGGCGTAGCGGTCGATCTCCTGTAGCCACTGTTTGACGTTGTTGAAGGACTCCTGAGGACGAGAGGATGAGAGACGGCAGCCGTCAACACTGGCGCCAAGAGAGCAGCAGTGCATTCTGGGAGCTGCAGCTCAGCAGGAAAAACCATTTGTGATTCCAACATTTCTTAAAAAGCAGGAGTCGTTCAACAACCCGGTCTCCATAACGACCGGGGGCGTGATGTCTGTGACATCATTTAGATTCCATGTCACGTTGTGTGAAGTTAAAGACTTTGCTCACGCCTGAAGCAGCTTTTATCTGCAGTGACGTCATTAATCAGCTGTTTATTCTGTTTTTCATCAAATGGAATGTTTTGTTCACGTATGTGGTGAATTATTTACCACATAGACTGAAGTCCACAACTTTCCAGATTAAAAGCACGGCAGCAAAAAACATAATGTCCTCCTGCTTTTACCTTGTAAATCAATTGTTGAAGAGGAAGTAGTTTTCTGACCTCAGCAGCTGAGAAAGTTCGTCCTGATTTTATTATAGAAGCTCAATGAACCTGAAGAAACTTTGTGATGTCATAGGTTTGTATCGTCTCACTGAAATAAAGGTAAATAACAGTTCTGACATCACTCGTGTTATTTGCTAGCGGAGGGGCATGTTGACCTCTGACCTGATCTGTTACGTCGTAAACTACGATGATGCCGTGAGCTCCTCTGTAGTAACTGGACGTGATGGTGCGGAATCGCTCCTGACCGGCCGTGTCCCACTGGTAAAACAAAGCAGAGCCCGTCAGAAACAAACAACCAGCGTGTGGCGCTGCTGATCAGTTCACGCCCCGGTGACCCTGCGTCTCTTACAATCTGAAGCTTGATGGTTTTTCCGTCCAGCTCGATGGTCCTGATCTTGAAGTCCACGCCGATGGTGCTGATGTAGCTTTCTGTGTACGTGTCATCCTGCAACACAACACGAGAGTCACACCGGATCCTGCAGCGTCATCGCCATAACAACAGACGTGTCGTACACTTACTGCAAACCGCAGCAGGAGACAAGACTTCCCGACGCCAGAGTCACCGATCAGCAGCAGTTTGAATAAATAATCACTGAGAGAAAACGACACGTTAATAAAAACACTGACTTCATTCATCTCGTCAGATTCAACAAGTGAAGAAATTCTCTAAAGTCAAGTTACATAAAACTTTCCTGAAGCTTCTTTTCTCCGTCGTACGTTAAACTAAATAAATAATATCCCAAAACTTTATTCGTACAGCATCATTAAAACAGATACAAGGTAAAGAATTAAAAATATTTGAAACATTAGAGCAGAAATATGAGAATTTAATATTAGAGATCAGAAAAGATTTTAATTATTACAATAATCTGGATTTTTCTGTTAATATTTTCTTTACTTTATTTTGACTCCACTGAGCAGAGAAATGATCCACGTTAGTTTGGTTCATCTGCACTCGGCCGTTAATAACGGATCCGTGAATGGAATCGCTTCATCTCGGGTTATTTGTCATCAATCACGTGTTGGAGGACTGTGACGATCGATCAGCTGTCGAAGTCATTATTGATTTTTTGTTGATGACGTAGCAGGGCTCTGACAATGACGTGACTCCAATGGAGGGGGGGGGGGTCTGAGAGATGACGTCATCCAGGGCTGGTCGTGCTGACGCCTGGTATTTAACCGACTAAAAGAACGATCGATTAATCGAATCGATAACGGGAAGGCTGCTCGGTGGAGCGGATGTTCGGTGGTTCCGGTCTGACGGTACCGAACACAGCGGGACCGACTTCCTGTTTGCGGCAGTTAAAAGACGCAGACTCATCGTTAAACCTCCGGTTTGGTTCTGACGTCTCGTGCTCACCGACAGAGACACGAGACTCACCAAGTCACCGACCGGAGGCTCCGCCGAAGCTTTGAAGTTAGCTTGTTAGCTTGTGAGGCTACCTCCAGAGAGCCTGTGTCGGCGAACTAATGCCCCCACCAAACACCGTCTGTGGGCGGCTTCAGTCGGTGTTTACTTTAACGGAAAACGAGATCGGTGACTAAAATGAACGCTGTCATGTGACAGGCTGCCGTTAACCGAGCACCGAGGCAGCTGACGTTCATCTTGTACCGGTCCGCCCGGACGGCTAACGCTAGCCTAGCTTAGCCTAGCTTAGCTTAGCCTAGCCTAGCTGCCGTGTGAGCTGACAGCTCAGCCGGACCCGTCGCCACAGAACCGGGATCAGCGTCACTTACTACTCGGGGTTCATGGTGGAGCTCGGCTGGTTCAGATCCGTCACCGGAGCAGAGGGAGTCGGTCGCGGGTGCAGTTTGAATCCGCCTCGTACCGGAGCAGAAACACCGTTCAGGCTGGAACTCGTTAAACTGGTTGTCGCAGCCACAACAGCATAATCGAATCAAATATGGCCGTCACAGCTTCCTACCCGGAAATACCAGCGGCGAGGGATCATGGGTAGTGTAGTGCTGGGGCAATGGGCGTGCACGCGTCTGCTCCAGTGTCTCCATCGCCCCCTGGCGTCTGGCTGCAGTACAGCGCATTAACCTCCTCCATGTTATCAGATGGGACATGGACCAAAGTCAAAGTAGACGTTAAAGTTTGTCACTTTTGTTTCTGTCGTTTCGTTTCTTCTCTGATGTTTGATCGAGAGTTTCTCACCAGTTTGGTTTAATCACTTATTTGATGACAGAAAACAGGTCAAATGACATCATCACCACAAGATGGCAGCGTGCGTACCTTCTCCATAGCTCCGCCCTCATTAAGCCGTCGTCCAGGAGGTGCCCCCGGCCAGTGGAGGGAGGTTCTTTACAACCTCAGGATCAGAAGGGAGGCTTCCGGCGTGAGGACCGCTGGGATTCGAACATTTCAAAACTCTAAACACGATGAGCACAGCATCGGTCTTTTGTGGCCACACCGTTCACACGCTTCCTGTCGTTTTCACACATCAGCAGTCAGTGAACACATTTCCACAAACTTGACCTCCCAACAAAATGACGGATTGTTTTTGTATTATTTACGAATGTTAACACACAACATCCCACAATGTTCCAAACCTTATATCCAGTCTAAAAACTCTTCTGCAATGATATCAGATATCTCCGCTGATAATAAACAAACTACTGAAGAATTGAACTTCCACTAACCCTGAAGATCGCAGAGACTAGAAACAGGGATTCTGTGCCTTTTGTAGTTCCCCTCTTTTTATCTGGGCTTTTTGCCGTTGTGTGTTTGTTCAGAATGCTCTTGTGTGTTTCATGGATATTTTGTTCACTGTAAGAAAGACTGTCAAACTGTTTCTGTTCTATCATACTGTAAACAGTATTTCTACAGTAAAGGGAAAAACAACTGATTTGCTTTTTACTGGTGCTAGTTGAATGTGAACATGTGGACATCCAGTTCCCAACCAAGACATTTAGTGTAAAAACAGTGGATTTCATGTTTTGCATGCAAATACCTGTAAAACTGAAACATAACATTTTTTGTAATGTCAGCAACAGCCAGTATTTTGAAACCTGGTGTACTTTGATTGACTGCATGTACCTTGTGAAGTGAAAACAAGAGTTATTCTTTGACAGAATAATTTCATTTTGAGTCAGATTTCCAGTGTTTCGGTAAAGTTAGTGTGTGCAGAGAAAGATGTGTTCATTTTTGAAATGAAGAGTTAGTATATATTTAACAAAATGTGTTTTTGAGAAGAAAATTATCCATTTGGCCAATTGTGGTTTGTAGCAGTGAGTCTGTGTTAAGAGTTTGGGTAAGTGCTTGTTAGCCATTGAAAAAAACTTTAATCAATCCTGGTTTGGCTGTTTTAAGGTTTTAAAGGTTTTCTGATGTTGATCCGTGTCAGTGGTGGTCAGTGGTCGTAATGTTGTTCTCCCCATACGGCCACATCATCGTGAAGAAGAACCTGTGGCAGCTTCAGTCGTCATGCAAAAAGGTTTTAGTTTGTCCAGTCTGGCCTAATGTAAAAAACATGGCGGCTTCCGTAGAGAGGGTCCCCTCCATGTAAATATAAAGTATTTAAATATAAAGTATTTAAATATAAAGTATTTGAATATAAAGTATTTGAATATAAAGTATTTAAATATAAAGTATTTAAATATAAAGTATTTGAATATAAAGTATTTGAATATAAAGTATTTGAATATAAAGTATTTAAATATAAAGTATTTAAATATAAAGGATCTTTTCTGGGGTAAAGAAAACTACAATTCAAACAATTTAGATAAAACATCATGAGGATTATTCTACGTTACATCTCTGTCAATAGATCCTTTCACCTGAATCTGACACTGGAGCTTTAAATAATTAATTCAAGTATAAAATCTTTACAGATGAAAATTGTAGAATTAGTTGAGAACCAAATGATGATCAATGGAAACTAAAACCATCAACCCAGTGAGGCTGGATTCAAACCTGAACATCCCAGAAACAACGTGAAACCACAGCTGATGCAACGTGTGTGAATTTCATCAAGTCATCATGTGACTCAGTGGGTGTGGCCTCCTGATGAGTCGGAGGACGGAGTGTGGACGGACTTGGTGGATTTAAGTCAGAGGAGCGTGAGGGTCAGCCTTTTTAATCCCGGACCAGGAGGAACCCAGGGTCCACCACACCAGGATGAAATACAATAGAATAATAAAACAAAATGGACCTGAAGACGTTAATCATCAAAAACTATTTTTTAATAGAAATGACTGGAAACATCCAAACATCTCAAAGTCCAATGTGTTTATTGAAAACACTGAAAATGAAACTCTGACAGAGTTGGATGAAGAAGTCGCTTCATCTTCCTGCTGAAACGTCTGTTCTCTGTTGTTTGAAGAGGGAAGTGAAGAACAGCACCAAAACCAAACAAATACAATGAATAAAGCTCGTGAAGCCAGAATTAGAATCCACAGGTCATTGATTTGTAGAAAACTGAAAACCAGCGGCTAAGACGAACCACGACAGCCGCTTCACAGTCATGTATGGAAGCCCTGAAGGCAGGAAAATAAAAAACACATGGTCATTGTTCAAACTCTGAACTCAATTGTTTTGACCAAATTCCTTTTTTTTAAATTGTCGAAACAGATAAAAAAACTGTTGTAATACTCATTTAAACCACAAGAAGCTGAAGTGGTGCAATACACCACAGTCTTGTTCTCTGATGCAATTCCGCCTCTTGTGGCTGAAATGATTATTACAACAACAAACACTGAGGAACGTATTGAGGAGGAGTTCTGACCTGTTCCGTCAACACACGAGAGATTCTCATCTTTTTCATGACGGACACATGAAATGACTCATCTGTAATAAAATGAATCGAGAGAAGAAGGAAACACTGCAGCTCCTCCGCAACTGTGACAGAGCGTTTCCTGTGGTCGCCTGTTGGTGGCGCCATATCCTCCGTGCATGTGTCAGAAGAGTCAAAGTGACTTTTTATCCAGTTTATTACAGTTTTACACTTTTCACATCTTGGTGGTTTTTAACTGTGTGTTTGAAGCAGATGAAGGATTCGAGTYGTCGGACGTCTGGATCTGAAGTTTTCAGAGAAACGAGCTGAGCGAGCGTTAGCGGCAGCTCGACTCCTCAGAGACGAGTCAGAGAAACATGAGTTTAACATGAAGCTGCTTCATTCACTGTTTCTACTGG